GACTGCGATAAAGTGGCTCTGGAGTGCATGGGCTCCTTCTTCCCAGAGTTGGTGGAGAAGAAGCACGAGGACGCTGAGAGTCTCTTAAAGATGCAACAGCATCTGCATTCTCTTCCAGGACGTGCTGAAGCCTTCCCAAGATGAGAGGTAAAACTCGGGACTCCCAGGAAGCCCCCACAGTCATGGAGAATAGCATGAACCAGGCCCTTTTGGAGCTGCAGGCTCTGGTTTGACCAGCCCAGACCCTCATCTCTGTGACTTCCTGCAGAACCACTTCCTGGGTGAGGAGGTGAAATTCATCAAGAAGATGGGGTACACCTGACTCACTCCGCAGGCTAGCCGACCCCCAGGCTGGGCTGGGCTTCCCACAAGCAGGACCAGGAGTGCTTGGATCCCAGAGGCCTTTGAGGAGACCCTCTGCCTCCCCCTGGTGTCCAGCTTTTGCCTGAGTCTCTCCTGAAACCACTAGGCATCCTTTTAACCATCCTAGAGCCCTCTCCCATGCAGTGGACCAAATGGAAACAATAAAACTTTTTGCAGAAAAATTAATTAAAAATATTGGGGGTGGGGAACCTCTTGCTGACATGTATTATGTAGTTAGGCCTGCAATGGCTGCTTCTGTAATGAACATGTACAGATTTTTCTTCCTTGTCATTATTTCCTCAGCACTATAGCATCTATTTGCATAGCATTTATATTGCATTAGGTATTATAAGTAATCAAGAGATTATTTAAAGCATACAGAAGGATATGTGTAGGTTATATGCAAATACTACATCATCTATATATATATATATATATATATATATATATATATATATATATATAAAAGCCTAAGCAACCAGCCGACTGGCCAACTGACCTGTAGCTATGATGTGCAATGACTACCAGGAGGCAGACACTCATCACACAGGCATGGAAACATGGAACAGACTGATGAATCTCAGAGGGAAGTGGGGAGAGGGAAGGGTAGGAAGGGATTAATTAAAGATCTTATATACATACTAGATGCCTGGTGCATGGATTTGTGCACCAGTGGGATCCCTCGGCCTGGCTTACAAGGACCAGGCCGAAACTGGCTCTCCAACATCGACCGAGGTGTCCCAGATTGCGAGAGGGACCCCACTAGTGCACAAATCTATGCACAGGGCCTCTCGTTTTACATAAGGGACTTGAATATCCACAGAGTTTGGTATCAACAGGGTCGGGGATGTGGTCCTGGAACCCATACCTGGTAGATACCAAGGGATGACTAAACTCTATTCACATAGCATCTTCCCTAAAGCAAGGCTGTGAAGAACTGTTCTGCAAAATGCAATCACCACAATACAATATGCAGATGGTGTATCATAGAATTGTACATCTGAAACCTATAAAATTTTATTAACCTATGTCACCCCAATAAATTCAATAATTTTTTTTTAATTTTCCTGCCAGCCAGGAAATGGATGACAACATCCAGTAACAAATAACACTCATAAAAGGTGAGGGCACATCCAAACAACGGAATGCATTTTCATTTCACCTGAGGGCTAAGGAAGTGTTTGGGTTGCAGGTGTGGGGGAAGAACATTGTACAATAAAACTGATAATCTCTCCACGGTTCTTAAGATTCAAATACCAGGCACGACAATTTGGCAAGTAAAAAAGTCCAGAAGTCTGAGAATTCCAAGAGTCCTTCAGCTTATCGAGCCCAGGCTCTCTCCTAACCCAGGATTCCCCACGTCATCCCCAACAGAGCATCACTGAGACTGAACACCTCCAGCAGCAGATCACCCACCACTTTGCAGGAAGTTCTTCTGGGATCTGCCTCCCTAAAACTCCTAACACTGAGCCACCTGTTGTGCTGTCATTGTTCAAGACAGCTGGGAGGCAGCCTGGGGTTGTGCATAAGGGATCCGAAGGCAGCTTTATCACTTGGTAGTTGTGTCAGCTTGGAGCATCCATTCCTGCAGGGGTTAAGTAAAAGGGGATGATAATCATAATAACTTAGAAGGCCTTGTAAGTATTAAATAATATTACACAAGTAAAGCCCTTGAAATGGAGCCCGGCCACAGAGTAAGTGCACGTTAAATGTTAGCTCTGATCATGATATCGCACTCTGCCAAGTCCTCTCCTCTCCATTTCCATCAACCGTTCTGTATGTCATATGGTTCTTTTAAAAAGCTCCTCTGTGAGAAGCTCCTTCAGTCCCATGAGGCCCATAGAAATGGATTTCACATGCTGATGTGGTGTAACATGCCTCCCGTTCCGTGGGAACAGTGGCGGCCTTGACTCACACTACACGACTGTGTCAGTGCTGCCTGTGATCGCCTTGGCTCTTTGCCCGCTGAGCCACATCACGGGTCCTCAGCAACCTTACAGCTCATTCTGTGCACAGCAGGGTCTGTGCCTTGGGAGGCTGCTTCTCCTCATGACTGTCAAACCAAGTACTTATGTGGTTTATTTGGGAGGTGGGGGAGTGGGGTGGGGGCGCATGAATACATTTATAACTATTAAACTAAATGTGAGACCTTTATTCTAATCTATTCCAATACATTATTATTCCACCTTTCCTAATGTTGTGTCATGTGTGTCATGGGCTTATCAGAGGGGTGTGGGGTTTTTTTGTTTGTTTGTTTGTTTGTTTAGTTGATGGATCTTAATATGGAAGGGGGCCTGAACTAGAAGTAGCTGGGACCAGACAGTTGGGTATTGCACATATGGTAACCAAATTTCATTAAAGCTTCCTCTTCTTTTCTGTTGAAGATCATGGTTGAATCTGGTGCTTGAGACACACAGCTCAGGTCATTATACACAACAGTTACTTGCAAAGTGTTTCTGGGGAACTGCCTCTGTAATCTGCCATCAGAAACTGCACAGGGAGATTGCCCTTGAGGGGGCCCTGTAGCTCCACACCAAGGAAAGGGAGAGGTGCTGGGTATGGGTTCTTGACCCTCTGTGGGACTTAGAGACGTGGAAGGATTATCATGCTGGCGAGGGAAATGAATTCTTTTTTGCCTTGAAATCCGTCTTTTGACAGCCCACTCCCTCAAGAAGCAATATGTGCCGAAACCGGTTTGGCTCAGTGGTAGAGCATCGGTCTGTGGACTGAAAAGTCCCAGATTCGATTCCAGTCAGGGGCATGAACATTGGTTGCGGGCACATCCCCGACAGGGGGTGTGCAGGAGGCAGCTGGTCGATGTTTCTCTCTCATTGACATTTCTAGCTCTCTAGCTCTCTCCCTTCCTTTCTGTAAAAACTCAATAAAATATATTTTTAAAAAAGAGGCAATATGCTCCTTTGGCTTGGGGGTTGCAGGACAGTGATCTGTGGTTTAAGCAGAAAATGTCAATTGCCCTCCAGTCCCTCTCCCCACAGCTTACATGCAGAGGGGAAGGGAGGTCATTGGAAGAGAAATTAGAACAAAAGGCAATTGGGAAGACAAAGGAAAATGAGAGGAATTTAAAACATGGGTGACCATGGTCACTTTATCTGATGTTTTGCTCAAACCCCCTTTTGGAAAAAAAAATGTGTCTAACACTGACCTCCCAAAACACAGAACCAGAAATCTGGTCCCAATCCTATCAAATAAAAGGGTAATATGCAAATTAACCGTCACTCCGTCACAAAGATGGTGGCACCTAGCCACAAGATAGTGGCACCCAGTCTTCTCAACATCACCGGCGTCCCCCAAACTCCGGAGGGGAAAGGAGGTGGCCACTGAGAGCGGACAGTGTGAGCAGCCTGGTGGAATGCCTGCTTCATCGCCACATCGATGAGGCAAGCTTTCTGCACCCGGCCGTGGATAGGCCTCTGGGCTTCGGAGAGCCTCTGGACAGGGGGCACAAAGTGGTCAGGCCCCACAGAGAGTTACTGGCACACGGATTCCTGTGCAGGACAACTAGTTGTATTATATCCATCAGTCCCGAGTCCCCTCCTCTGAAAAATGAGGGCTATGAGGCACCAATTAAAGAAACCCTGTGACCTTCTCAAACGCTAACATTTTAGGCACTGGAGTGTCCTACCCTGAAGGGTCAAGAAAACTATAATAATCCAGAGGTTGCAGCAATTAGGGGTCAGACACCAATGTTCTGCTTCCCACACCCATCTGCACACCGGAAGCCAGAGAGGGCAAAGCATCGTCCGCCCTGGGTGGAGGAGTTCCAGAGAAGCCTACAGTTTGGACCAGATAATTTCCCGAAGCAGCAGTTCACAAGCTGAAGGCTGTCTTGCCAGATCCCAGATCTCCGCAGTCAACACCGAAGGAAGGTTTTGCTGAACCTGCCCCTTCCAATTCTGAAATAATCTCTGTTCAGACTAGGGCTGGGAGAGGGGCAAGCCCTCCCACCCTGGTAGCAACGGAAGGAAATGGGCAAGGAAGAAAACGCCCAGCTGTGTGCAGCTCAGTTCTCAGCAGTAAGGACAAGTCTGGAAATGAAGGAAGGAACCCCAGAATGCACCAGGAGGGGGGAAGAATGGGTGTTATTGTTGCATTTCCAGGGCCAGGCTGTACCTTTTTGTTTTGGCACACTTTTCCTGACAAAAAGCCAATGTTCTCACCACAAACATACTCGTCGACATTAGTAACAACAGCATTATGAGACCATTGTCTGTAAAGATGCCAGATTGCATGCAAATGGACTGGAAATACTTTGGAGAATTTCACAAAAATCAGACACAGGGCAATTAAACTCTGGCAGGGGAGATCGGAACAAATTCTCTAAAGACGGTGGGAGGAAGGACGCAAACAGCTCATACACACAAGCCTTTCAAAATTGGACACGTTTGCCTTAAGCCCACTGGATATCTGCTGCTCTGCCTCATGCCCTTCATGGGAAAGCAGCTTTAGATGTTTGTTTTTGAGGGGGCTCGGCGTCCTTGAGGGCTGATGCCTGAGGTTCCACTGCCACCAAGTGGAGCCACGCGGTATTGCAGCGATGGACGTTCTCTAAGACCTAAAGCGAGAGGCAGAAGTGACAGGCGGTCTGTTTCTCATCTGACAATGAAAGATGAGAGCAAGGTTGCGAACTCCATTTTATTAGCATCCATTTAGTTCAAAGGAGGTGTCATTTTGGTTCCCAGACATCAATCAAACTGGCTTCGCTCAGAGGCCTGGCTAGGCTAAATTTGCACCTTCTATTTCTGCCCAGGTGGAGCCGGGCTGGGGAAACCCGCTTCTCCAGCATCATCACAGTGATTGTCAGAGGCCAAAGCCTCCAGCCTCCAAGATGTTCCTCGTTTAACAACAGAGTTTAATTATGTTCAGGAGGCAAGAGACCTGAAGACAGGTTAACAGCCACGCAGGGGGGAAGGGGGTATGACAAGTGTGGTTGAATGAGGAGGGAGCCTTCCTCTACTGCCTTTTAAGAACAAAAAAATCAGCAAAATGGTGGCCCACTAGTCCAAACGCCAGAGACCACTTTATTTCTTAGAAAAGAAACCAATTTCCACCCTGGCTGGGTGGCTTGGTTGGTTGGAGCGTCATCCAGTAACCCCAAACAGTTGCAGGTTCGATTCCTAGTCAGGGAACATACTTAGTTGTAGGTTCCATCCGATCGGGACACATATGGGAGGCAACCAATCAATGTTTCTCCTCTTCTGTCTGTGTGTGTGTGTGTGTGTGTGTGTGTGTGTCAAATCAATAAAAATATATCCTAGGGTAGGAGTATTTTTAAAAAGAATAGAAAAGAAACCAATTTCTGGCGATGGGTCCCCTTCCATGTCCTTCCCTGTTTTGGAAGAGGTTGACTTGAGTCCTGTGGAGACAGAGGCCTGGAGACTCTTTTCTAACAAGAAAGCAGATCCAGGTGTTCTGTGGCTCTGCCTTTTACTCAGCCCCCTGCGCTTGGCTGACAGGCCAGAGACGGAAGGGAAGACAAGAGGGAAGGAAATGGGTACTTCCTGGGTACCCACCCTGTGGCAGAATAAATGTGAAACTGTATTGCTTTCTCCTCCTGGATTATGCCCTCTGGGGAGAGACTAGAATAATCAGGCTATAAATCATTACTTGTAATTCCCCTTTTCAATGCAAAACTTGGCTAATGTTGTTGGTGCAAAGCCATTGAGAAACCCTCAACCAAATCTTTGTGGAATGCAAATAGCCCTAATTCAGCGTGTCATCCATTCACCAACCTCACCTCACCCCTTTCCACGCTCAGTTTTTCCTTTTGATGAAAAGCAGAGCAGCGGGTTCTTGGGAGGTAACTCCCTAACTCAGCTACACATTTTTAAATGCCATTTGGTGTATGGGATTTTTTTTTTTTTTCCTTCACCAAAGAGCCATTTCCTATTGCCCCGCCCCACAGCGCTGTTTCAGGGATTAAGTAAATCATAATTGTTGTTAGGTACCATGACTTTTCCGAGAGATATTATGAACCAATTCTGTCAAATAAAGGGATATGGATTTATTTCCTCCTACAATTAAACCTTGGGTGAATGGCCAAACTGGCTTTCAGGTCTCCTTCCTGTCTCACCTGGGCTGCCAAACCCCATTCCACTGTTGCCACTCCTCTGCCTTCCTGGAGCCAAACCTCAGGGTTCCGTGATCCCGCTTGGCTTCCCCCCTCACCCTCGCCACTCACCTCAAACATTGGGGAAAACACGCTTGTCTTAGACACATACGGAGAAGAGAAGGAGAGACACACCAAGAAGGGGCAAGCCCACACTCAGAGGAACCGAACCTTGAACTTCAGCTAATGTCCATGACTAATGTCCACCACTCCTACTGCTGCGGCCACCGTGAAAGAGTTGCCACCACATCTTTATTGCATCTTCAGGTAAAGAACGGTGAATAACTTACAATACAAGGCACTCCCCCCTCCACAGACAATGCCTGCTTACCGAGCGCAGGAGGTGAGCACAGTGCAAAATCTAGTTACAGAGGCTGGGATGCGGACAGTGCCAGGAACACGTAGAAAGAACAGTGCACAAATGCTCCTGGCAGAGAAAGGCTGGGCTTGCCCACACTAGTGAGGTCCAGAAGGAAAACTCCCGGTAAAACACGGAGCAGAGAACAGTTGGGGGACTGACAGCAAGTTTGGGAGTGACCTAAGGAGAGAGGGGGGACCGTGACTCGGTGCTGGGGACCCACAGAGGCCTTGTGTTAGCACCATAGAGATGAGTACGTTCAGGGTGACCTTTGGCCTCTCCTACCCAGGCAAGAAGGGAGGGTGCCAGCAAGTTGGCTTCCAGTGTAGATTTAGGCAGGGAGGGGCTGGGAGACAGCCCTTGACTATTTCTGCTCAGATTTGCAGTTCTGCTCTGGGCTGAGCAATCGTTACAAAACCGGCGTGGAGCGTTGGCTTCTGAAGTTGGGTGAGCCGGTACACAGTTAGATGGCCGGGGCTCGAGTCACGTGTGAAGTGACAGGGAATAGTAAGAGAGAAACCCTGAGTTGCCTGAGACTCCCACCTAGAAGAAGCATCCTAACTATGGAGCAAAGGGAAAGCTACGGTGCTGCTAAGAACTGGCGTGTCCTCGCCCCCAGCGCCTCCAGGACAGAAGAATGGCTGCTGAGGCTGGCGGGAGGCCGGGTCTTCCCACCACGTTGTGTATGGTTTCCTTAGAAGACTCGGGATGGAACCCACACCCCTTCAGTCCTGCTGACTCGTCGTGTTCATCCCGCTCTTCAGCTAGCTGCCGTTTTTCCTTCCTTCGTAGTCGTTGTAAGGGCTCACGCGAGTCTGGGCCCGTGGGATGGAGAAATCCTTTTGGGAGTTCCGATTCTGAAAAGGAAGCACCATATGGTTAAGCCCTCTCCCGTTCCCCGGATATTTCAACAGAACTTCAATCTGGGCAGGAGTCTCATTTTCTTCCTTTTCTCCGAAACCCTCCCCCTAAAGACCTCCCTGTGCCCTACCCTCCAGTCGTCTGCCCTAACCCCAAAATGTGGATGAGAGCAAAATAGACATGTCATCTTTTTAAGGTGACAGAATGGTAACACCTTCTATGCCCAAGGGATACGTTCCTGGGTGCTGAGGCTGCTGATGAAAAAGGAGAAAGAGATCACTTGCCTGCAGCTGGAAATGGGTGGTATAAGGGACATAGGTGGTATCACGTAGCTCTTCAAGACCTGAAACAGAGGGAGAGGAGAAATTAAAGCATTAGGGTCCCCTTCCTCAGGCACCCACTCATGCTCACCCCAGTTGAGTCACCTACCAAAGCATGATAGATACCTTATCCATTGAATTTTCTACCTGGTAGGCTTCTGAGTGTCCAGGAGAGGGCACCCCTCAGGGTCTCTATCCCCTCCACCCCCAACCCCCACTACAGGGAGAAGCACCAGAAAGCTTCGCACCTCGGGCTTCAGGAGTGAGCCATTGTAAACAGCAGCTAAGAACCAGGCCTTGGAGGCCCCTCACTCCTCTCCCAAACCCATTCCTCTCCCCTGATTAGGTCCAGAGCTCAATGTCAACCCTAGAGAGCAACACACAGCTCCTGATGGGCAAGGGCCATGTCTCGATATCAGCTGAGCCTCTTTATGTTACGGAAACAACAACAGAACACCTGGCTACTCACACCACCAGGCAAGAGCAAAATCGGTTCATTCTTTCATGTCAAGATAGGATCTCCTCCCTCCCATGGGCCCAGATGCATACAATAAAATGTAGCTCTTCAGGTTAAATTGGAATCCTTAGTAACTCCATGGCGATTTCCACTAGTTTATGACAAAAGGCTTTCTAGCCTCTCTATGCCCTGTGGTCACTGCAAGAAGTCATGGCTTGGCTTTATATGCCCAAATATAGGAAGGTCTCATGTTTCCAAAGGGAAATGTTATCTTTTATAAAAAACACAATCTCACCTACTTATCCCTAAGAATGTTTCGAGTCATTCCTTTTCCATTCCTTTGCTTCATCTTATTTTTATGCAGAGAAACCTACATGGACTGTGTAGAAAATGCTGGATTATAGCTCCAGAGGCAGCTTCTAGATCCACTTGTTAACTAGCTGGACGGTTTTAAGCATGAGCTGAGCCTTGGGGGCCTTATCTGTTCTGTCAGGGGCACTAGCTGGATAAACCTGCATGTTCCTTAGAGTTATAATACCCTATGAATTCTCTCCCATCTCTCTACAGAGGGCTGTCCACCCAGCCCGGCTCTATACCTTGAGTGATTTCCTCTTGACTGTAGGCTCTGTTCTCCACGCCATAGCTCTGCTTCATGAACTGAGGTTTACAAAAAGCATCCTCCACAGGGTAGTCCATGGGGTTCTGTTGCTTGGTGAGCAGCTGAAACTCGGGTGCCACGTAAGCCAACAGGAAGATCCAGCCGTTGGCCACCAGGGCCGCACTGAGGATGGTATCGTCCCACATGGTGTCAGGGGTAGGGTTGATCAGCAAGGTGATCCATGCCACCCAGATGGCCATGGAGAGGAGCGTGGTGAGATAAATGTGGGCTCCATGCCTCTTCCAGCCAGTGAAGGGGCCGCAGAAGGTGAAGCAGGACGTGAGGAAGGTCAGGGCCATCAAGAAGAGGACGAAGATGAGCAGCATGACAAAGTCTTCGTTGCGCCGAGGAGGAGGGAGCTCCGCGAAGATTTCCGTATCGGTCCTGTTCATGGTGAGGACGAGGTACTCGATGGCGATGACGTCCTGCACCAGGCTGACGCCCACCGCCAGGCCCAGCATCACCAGCAGGGAGAGGGGCTTCCAGCCGCGGACCAGCCTCGTCAGGTTGAAAGCATGAACCAGGAGGCAGGAGAAGCAGAGGGAGAAGAGGACGCCGAAGAGGAAGAAGCGTGTGGGCCCCGTGGAGCTGTCCAGCCTGATGATGAAGGCGAAGGTCAGGCCGAAGACCCCCAGCACACCCACAAGGAAGAGGAACTGGACCGGGAGCACCTTCCGCTTGTTGGAGTCCTGCACCTTGCAGATGAGGGCCAGGAGAGCCAGCATGAAGGCCACTGAGGTCACAGCCCCCACGGCAGCCACAGTTTCCAGGACGATGCCCCAAGCTTCGGACGTATCACAAAGCCTTCGGTACTTGAGAGGCAGGTCCTCACGGCAATCACCAGCCGGTGTGGTCATTTTGATCCTGTGTGAAAGCAAACCAGAGGCAGAGGGTGAATGTCCTAACAAACTCAGGCACAGAGGACCAGGAGAGATCCAGAAAAAAAAATGTTGTATGTTCAGCCAAGGTTTTGCCCGTGACCTTACCATATTAGATAAAGCTACTACCTTTTCTCTATGTCCTCGTGGCAAATCCTAAAGGCTGATGAAGGAAAAGAACAAACCCCATATGTGCTTCCCCATAACTGAACTATAATATTAATATCTACCCTGAAGCTAGAGGACCCAGTGCTCTGTAGAGAGGTTTCAGAGTCTCAGTTCAAAAAATATGTCACAGCCAAAACCGGTTTGGCTCAGTGGATAAAGAGTCGGCTTGGGGACTGAAAGGTCCCGGGTTCGATTCTGGTCAAGGACATGTACCTTGGTTGCGGGCATATCCCCAGTAGGAGGTGTGCAAGAGGCAGCTGATCGATGACACTCTCTCATCGATGTTTCTAACTCTCTATCTCTCTCCCTTCCTCTCTGTACAAAATCAATAAAATATATTTTTTTAAAAATATGTCACAAATAACTTCCAATATTCCTGATGCTTT